TCTTCTATAAATGCATTATAAATATTTTATCAAGATTTCATAAGAATCAAGTTTCTTAGCTTGGAATACAGTGGAATATATATTATACATATATATATTTATTTATACCTAAAATTTAAGCAATACTTCATGCTACTTGCTTTTAATAAAAAGCATTCCAACCGTAACACTGAAGGTGTGCCTAGGACATGCTTCACAACCAATGGAGATGCTCAATTGTTATATGATGTATGAGAAAAGAACACTTTGGATTCATTTAAAATTTGTTGGACTTCAAAAATCCCAACAGTATTTGCCACTTTTTGGGAACTACCTCCATTTTTCTTACACAGCAATAAAGCAAAATGAGGGCGGCAGGTTGGCAGCCCTCTGGAGCCGCCGGCCGCGGCGTGCGCCTGCTCTCAAAGCCCTGGCCAGCACGGGGCAGCCTCCTGCCCCACGGGCACTGCTAGCCCCACCAGCCACAGGACTATCCCATCAATTCCTGCTGTTTATTTTTTTCTTAAGGCATTGTTCCTCAGACTTCAGAATACCCAGCCACAAAAATCCATCAGAGCAATAAAAAAAAGGCACAAACTTGCATCTTCCGATGGCTTTGAGAAAGCAAAGCCGGCTCCTGCAGGCTCACATTTCCATTTTTGTCCACTTTTTTTTCTTAAATGCTCATCCACTCTGTCCCCCACCCGGCTGCAAACCCCACCGCACACCGCTCTGGTTCACAGAGGCAGGCCAGAGCGATAGAAAACGTTCTCTTTAAAAAGAAAGCTACAAGATGAGTGGTTTACACGGAGACTGTGGAATTGTGGGTAATTAATCATCAAACTTTAAGCACCAGTTTTGATCAAGTTTGTTTTGTATTGTTAGATCTTTGATTTTCATGTTCTTTTCCTCGTGTCAACTGAATCGGGCAACTCTGCCACGAGTTGCCGCAGGCTTCCTCCCTCTTCGGCATCCCTCAGGGGGGCCGAGGGCGAGCCTGGTGCCCTGCATGTCGGTGTCTGCTCTTCCCGGCGTCTGTCCCGGGTTCTGTGTAAGGCTGCCCTGCCCGGTGAGACCTGGGGTCTGGGCCCCTGGTGTGCCTGCGGATTCTGAGAGAACGCCTGGCAGGATGCAGAGAAACAGCAACTTTTCTTGGCGGAGCTTCAAGACAGACAGACAAACAAGAGTCGCAGCCGTGGGCACGGTTACAGGGGCGGCTCCTCTTCCATGGGCTCCTCCTCAGGCCTGTGGCAGTGCCCCAGGGGGAGGACAAAAAGGCACATAGCAGAGAAGAGAAAGGACAGACGAGGGTTAGAGGCAGCACTGCAGGGCCTTCTCTGCCTGTCCTCCGCCCTTCTTCCTCCAACAGGACTGCTCTCCCGCTCCCCCACCCACCTCCCACCTTCAATTCCCGGCTCCTGACCAGGTGTTACTGGGCCACCTGCTCAGGGATAAATGCTGCCCCCTACACTGGAAAGACGTGTTGGATGGGGACACCTGCTCCCCGTGCCCTTGAGGGCCCATGTGGAGAAGCTCCTTCAGAACGCGTCCCCTTCATGCAGTGCCGCAGGCCAGGCCCTGCAGGGCTCACCTCTTCTCAGCAGGCTTCACACCTACGGACAGGGAGGCCATGGCGGTGACTGTCTCGGCTTCTTCATTCTCGCGCTTCTGGGCCTCGACCAGGGAGTAGGCCACGGTGGAGGGGAGGCGCTGCAGGGAGCGCCAGTACTGGCCTGGGCGAGAGAAGCGCTAGGTTACAGACACCACGGGACTGGGCCCAGCAGGCTCTCCATGACCCTATCCCTGACTCTAGCAGGCAGGGGCATGGGAAGACTGCCACCCAGTGTGGAGGGGGTTCCCAACTGGACCTTCCAAGACCATGGGGGTGTCCCTATGAGGCTCAGAGTAAGGGGACCCTGCAGGGAGGGCTGGGCCGGACCAGAGCCAGCCTCTCAGTGTTTTCTGGCACCCAGGGGTTCTCATCAGGGCAGGGGGATAGCTCAGCTCCAAGGCTAGGAGGGACCCAACACCCGTGCAGGACACACAGGTGAGACCCCTGGTTCCCACCCACCCAGAGAGACAGTCTCCACAGTGTGGGCCATCCTAAGGACCCAGAACAAACTGAGCTTTGCGACAAGGAGAGGGCACTGCCAGCTCACCTGAGACAGGTGTGCTGGCATGAGTCACCTGGCTGTGTGCCAGCTCCCTGGGTCCCCAGGACCTGATGTTGGAGGGGAAGTGCTAGGAAATAGGGGGCCCTGCACTCTCCAGAGTTTGCAGGGGGGCCCTGCACCCCCCACTGAGTCTGCAGGAGGGGTGGGGTTCTTGGGCCAGGGAAGAGACCAGACCTGAGGACACAGTTCACGCCCTGGCCCCACCCTGCTAGCTGGGGGCCTGGAGCAAGTGACTTCACAGCCTCCTGGAGGCAGGCACTTTTGTGACATGAGCTGAGACACATTGTAGTGGGTTGCGGCGAGCACATGGGGGTTCAACAAGAGTCTCCAGCAGCTCATTAAATCTGGCTGAAAGCCAGGCCTGTCTTGTAGGCCCAGGAAGCAGCCGGCAGTGACATGAGAGGAGCCCAGGGCGGGGACTCGGGGCTGGGAGTCCTGTACTTTCCCTCCCACAGGAGCATTTCCCAGCTGGAGACCTGGCCCAGACAACTTACTGTGAATCTCAATGACCTTCTCCATGGAACGGACAGCGTTGGCATTGGGTCTCTGCTGTAAAACCTTCTCTGGGAGAGGATCGAGCTGCAAAAGACGTGTGACTGTATGGTTAATATAACCCCGTGCACGTCAGGGCGGGCTGTTCACAACCAGCAATTGTGTCTTGAGCGCACTTGCCAACAGCGAGGAAACGTAACTTTAATAGCCAGATGTGGGCTTCGGATTTATCACATAAACTTTTACAAAAGTAAACTTATTTTCCTTAGGGCACTTTTCTTAGGAAACTCTCAGGGATGCTTGTGGTTCTCAGGTCGCAGGGCCACAGACGGTGTCCGGGAGTGGCTGGTGGGACATCAGCATGAGATCAGGGGAACAACTACCACTTTTTGGAAACATCACTTTCACATTCCTGGTATTTTAAATAAAAATGCTTGACTACTCCCTGGCCATGGTTTTCTTCTAATAACAGGGGAAAAGGTAAATGGAAGAAAAGTATTGAGCAGAACAGAAGGAACCTCTGCTCTAATCGATTCCCTAAGTGCTGGCTGCAGGTAGCGGAACCCACGGAAAGTCAGAGGGCCACAGGGCAAACCAGAGTGGCTGCAACAGAGCATGAAAACACAATGATTAAAAAAACTTTAAATAACTGGATAAGCCTCCAAACCCTGGAGAGACCTGGGGGCTCGGTAGAAGCTGGAACCCACCGAGACACACTGGGGACAGGTGGGGCCAGAATGCCTGGAGCCCTAGGATGAGCCAGGGAGGGCAGATGCACAGAGGCGTGCTTGCAGAGACCATGTAAGCAGTTCTGTTCTTAGCCTTGGCTCTGGGCAAAAGCTCAGAACGAAGGCACCCGAGACTCTGCTGGGTCCTAAACACTGAGCGTGCAGACCTGCACTTGTAGTGGTGGTTCCGTGACATGGCACAGCAACTGTCCATCCTCCGTGGGCACTCGGCCCCGAGCTTGCCAATCAGCGCTGCCAGCTCAGTTCCAAGGAGCATGGCCTCCCGATCATGAAGCACAGAAGCCAGCAAGCTGCACTTGGGCCAGGAGAAGCAATCTCGGTCTCTAATACCACCCTCCAATGAAAGGAACTGGCTCCCTGGAGACACGGCTCTTCCAGGGCAGCGGGGAGAACACGGAGGAGCCGACCACGGAGGAGCCTGGGCGTCTTCCAGTGCAGAGTACAAAAGAGCACAAAGACAGACGTCGGGGCCTGTCCGAGGGACACACAGGGCCAGCAGGAAACGGAATACAAGATGCAGGACTGAATCATAATCCTGAGTCTGCCATGAACAGCCACGAGTGAACTCTGACATAAACAAGTGACTGAGTACACAGCCCTCCCCATGACAGAGCTGACACCTCCCACCTCCCCAAAGCACGTGCGGGCTGCATGCGTGACTTCCAGCAAAGGACCTTTACGTGGGGACATACACTGACAAGCCCACTGTCGCCAGGCCCTCACGGTGACCTTCAGCAGAGGAGCCACATGGACAGCAAGTGTGGAGAAGGGCACTGGACCCCTGGGGTTTTGCTCCCTGCCCCCTCCTCAATCATGAGAGAAAAACTGGACAAACATAAATGGAAGGACACTCTATGAAACACCTGACCAGCACCCCCCAAACTGTGGTGGTCGTGAGAACAATGAAAGACTGGGAAGCTGTCACAGCCGAGGAGACTCAGGCAACAGGACGGCAGGGCCACTGCGGGGCCGGAAACAGAGGACGGTCAGGAAAACCGAGCGAGCCTCAGTGTGTCCCGCGCTTTAGCTAACGGCAGTGTGCCAGGGCTGGCTCCCAGGCAGGGACTCTGTCCCACACTGAGCTAAGATGGTGACAACAGAGGAAGCTGTCTGAGACACGTGTGCTAACGCTGCTACTTATGAGTCAATCGAGAGGCACCCAAAATCACAGCTCAGCTCCTCGGAGACGGCAGCCATTGAAATGACCAGTTCAAGCTATAAAGCAAGCATGGAAGCAACAACCACAGAAACGGTCAGATGCAGCCCGGAGGCAGGGACGTGGAAACGGGAACAGGTGCTGACCTCCTCAAGTCCCCGAGGGAGTGGCAGGCATCAATCAGCACAGGTGCCCACACTGAGGGTGTCCTGGCAGACCATTGGCACATTGGATCGAACCTGCAGAAAATTCTACAAGCAGCTGGAGAAAACAATCGTCAGAGGAGCAGCACCAGCCAGACGGCGCTCGCTTCATGGCAGAGGAGCAGGAAGACAGTGGTGTGACCTCTTCCACGCCGAGAGAGTGACTCGCTGAGTGACAGTGAGGGCGAAACAAAGACTAAAACAACACGCTGGGAAGGTTCGCACACAGTGTCTCCCACGGGAAACTCTGGGCTGTGCTGAAGGCAGAATGAAAACGACCCAGTGGCCTGAGAAATGAGGAGGCATGAGGAGCAAAGAGAACAGCACAGGTGCAGGATGGCCAAGTGAACAGGCTGCCTGGCGCAGTGATAGTGACATCTACTCAGTGAGAATAAAGAAAAGAGGGAGCGGGAAAGGAATACTCGTCATGACTGCACAGAACCGGAGCGGCTGGGCTGCCCACTTACAGACAGACATACCAAACACCAGGCACACATAGGTGTCTGACGAGCCAGTCATGTGTTATGAGCATGTTCATCTGGGTGCCCTGCATTTAATCTCTGATGTCCCCTGTAGCCAGAGCAGCCCACACCCTGACTGCACAGGGAAGGGTGAGGTTACTGACCGAGTCAAGGGCACACGCTAACATTTTTAAGGATCATGACTGAGAGAATTTGGTTGGCTGTAACTTCCCACTCAGGAGAGAGGACAAATGGAGTTGGGGAACCCTCCGCTGTGTTGAGAACAGGCACGAAAAGAGAAAAGAGAGCCAAGGAAAGGGGCAAATAGCACAGAATCAGATGGCGGGAATGAATCTGAACAAACCAAACAACATGCACTCAAACCAACGGTCATAAAGGTATAAAGGTAACAGGACCCCTGCCTCATGCTGGGTACAAAAGACATCGGACAGGGGAGGCTCCATGGCCAGGAGACCCGGTGGTCCGCAAAACCCGAGAGAGGAGGCTGGCGCGACGCCTGCAGCACTGGGCATGACGGATTTAACTGGCACAAAGGTCACTGTGTGATGATAAAAAACTCAATTCATCAAAAGGATATAAAGATTTAAAATTTGGACATATTTAGCAAAATTGTTTTAAAGTGTATGAGGTAAACTTGGCAGACCTAAAAGGAAATATGGGTAAATGTTCCATCACAGTGGGAGACTTTGACTTCTTAGATGGAGCAAACTAAAATGTGGGCAACACAATTAGCAAGCTTGGCTTAATGGACATAAAGAAATACATTTTAAAGAAAAAAAAAGATACTGTAGCTGAAGGTTGATTCTTTGAAATTATCCATTAAATTGACAAGTGCAGCAGGAGTAATGGAGAAACTAGAGAGGCACAAACAGAGTGAAGGGTACCAGGCCCCAGATACAGCAGACATGAAAGGACAGTAAGAGATACTGTCGGAAACCTGGCTGAAGGGGTAAATTATTGGTAAAATGTTAACTTTCCAAAATTAACTCAAGAAGGAACAGAAAACCTGAATGGATGACCAAAGCCACTAAATGATTTTTCAAAACATCTAAAATCTTCACCCAAAGGAAACCCAGGGCCCAGGCGAGCCGTCCCAGTCAAGGAACAGAACAGACTATTCTGATCCGACACACACTCTTCCAGAGACAGAAAAAGAGGGGACTTCTACTGTCCCCCTACCCATCCTTCCCACGTATGTAGATACCCTTCCCTCCATTCCCCCGCCCACCCCTCCCATCCATCCATTCACCCCCCTGTCCGTCCTTCCAAACATGGCCTAATATAAAAAACCAAACAGGAAAAGTCATGATCTCCATGAGAAGTGTGGGGCGCGGTTACGGTGTTTTGGCCAGGTTCAAGCCTCGGGACTGATGAAAGGACAGGGTCCTCTCATTGCCACGTGCAAGTCTTCAGCTGGAGGCAGGGTCCTCCCAGCACA